ATCTCAATGTAGTTTTAATTTGCATTTCACGAATGGCTAGCGATGTGGAGCATTTTTTCATGTATTTATTCGCTTGTTTAATTTCTTCCTCTGAGAAGTGTGTGTTCATCTCGGATGCCCATTGATCTTTGTTGACACAGGGTCTCTCTATACTGTTCAGATTGGCCTTGAGCTCACTTTGTAGCCCAGGCTGGTCTTGAACTCTCAGAAATCCTCCTTCCTCAACCTCCTGAGTGCTGGGATTACAGGTGTGTGCCACCACACCCATGCCATTGTGAAGTTTTTGAGCTTAGAATTCTTGTAGATTTTTATAACTTTATTCTCTATTTTTCATAGTTTCCTTGCCTGTGTACAGATTGAAGGAAGTTTTTCTCCTCATTTGTCTTTTCTGAAGTCATTTAGAAGCATCCAATTAGTTCTTATAACAACTTAAAAATTATTTTTCACATTATTTAATTTGTTTTGTATTTTTAATGCCAATATAAATGATATAGGTAGTTCAAGATCAAAACTTGATTCTTGGAAAGCAGAACTATCACCCGGTGGATGCTAGGGGAGCAGGCACATCCCTCAAGCTACTTGCTTGTTTTCTGGAAGTCTCTCCACATCAGGAAAGGAGAGCTTTTTCCCGATAGTTAAGGCCATCTGTTGAGAAAGTCTCCATTTTAATTAAACTTTTGTTTGAACTACCGGTACAAATGAAAAACACTTAAATGTGAATTATGCATATTGTCCATTAATATTTAACTTGTCTTTCCCATAGGTGAAAGTACTGATACAAATTGGTCAACTAATACAGGGCATTTTATGTCTGTGAGATGATTTGCTTCAAATTATTTCATATGCAACTGAAAAGTATTTACCCATGAATTTGAAAGCCTAGTCTATCACAAGAGGGCGCTCTTGTTCTTTAAAGCAAACGCTGTTTCAGGCACTGATTCCAAAGAGAATTATAGCTAAAATAAAATTTAGAGTTACAAATTGAATTTCAATTTTGGAAAGCTGTTTATTAGCAGATAGAACTGGGAATTGGTGATTCTATTTATGCAAATGAAGAAACTCTTAATGCTGTCATATCATAAAAGGATTTTTCAGACCAAATATACAAATATACAAAATTTATTATGCTAAACAATATTTCTTTTTTGATGAGTCATTCCAAGGTCTTATGAATGTGAAATTCAATTATCATATTAATGATTGTGGAATGGCTGAAATGGGGTTTCTAATCATCTGTCATGGAATCAATCAATTTTATTAGATATCTATTTTTTATTGTCTCAGTGCCTCAGACAAGAAGGTCCTAACATGTTAGCTATTACATCAGTTCATTTAAAATTATGGTTTTGATAATTATAGTTTGTATTATCTATAGTAATGGTTATATATTGTTGCCTAGCAAACTACTCCATGACTTATAGGTTTAAAATGTAATAATTTATCATTTTATAATTTGTAGGGGCCAGGAATCTGGGACCAGTTCCATAGGGCGCCTCTACCTTCAAGCCTCTCTTTTTTTTTCCCCATAATTTTATTGATAAACAAATAGCAATGAGACGGTTTCAAATCAAATTGGTAGGACAGTTTCAATAATTAACACATTGCATACATTCTTCCTAGTGGTTAATTGCTGTGCAAGATGCAGACATGATGTCCTATTTACAAACACCATTAAAACAAATCACTCTAATCATTAACAGATTGTAACTATCTATCCCAACCACTTTGAATACACAGATACAAAATAGACATTCATCTGTATCCCCTTTTTTGTTAAATTCTGTTTTTTGAATATTATAGGTGTGTAAACTCAGCAAAATATTCTAAAAGAGTTCAGTAGCCCATAATAGTATTGGGTCTTCCACTTGACTGGCAATGTCAGAAATTGTTGACCTGGCTTCAAGCCTCTCTTGAGGAGGTGGTCATGCTTAGCCTGGAGTCACCTCAGGGCTCCATTTGGGTTGAGGCATCTCCTGGAGGGCTCACTGAGGGTGCCCTCTCCACAGGGCAGCCTGGGAAAATGGCGGTTGGCTTCCTGTAGGTCACATGATCTAAGAGAGACAAGAGAGTGCCCAAGACAGAGGCTACAGGTTTCTAATAAGAGATTCTTTACAGTGACATCTCATTATTTCTGTTACAATTTATTTGTTTGTGTGCTCACTTCGGCAGCACATATACAATTTATTTGTTTGAAACGAGTCAATAAGCCCACCAACCTTAAAGGAGATGGGGAATGCTAAAGGGTGTGGATAGTGAGAGGATGGTTTTTGGGAACCAACACCCGGGCTGCTGCTTCACAGCTGGGTAAGATAGGACCATGTAAAGCAGAAATGTCCTCAAATAGGATTAAGACTGTAGTTTTGCCAGAGTGAATTTGAATGACAGAGTTGTGGTACCCAACTTTTTTCCACTTTATTTATTTATTTATTTTTTGACAACTCATACAGAATTTTACTTAACAAAATAGTATGAATTTCACAGTATTTGTTGGAATACATGGTATTGTCTTACAACCAGCTATTCATATTATCAGATATATACACATAAAATTGGAAGAAGAAAAAACTGGAGCAATGTATAAGAAATTAAGAAAAGAAAAAGTACAAACAATTGAAAAAAAGGAGACGAAGCTAATTAGAGCATTGACTGCTTCTTTCTATTTCCATTTTTTTTCTTTTTAAAAAAAATTTTATTTATTTTTTGTCCTGTCAGAGGTGAATATTCTCTTGGCATCTAAATACTATAAGTGTTTGAATTCAACTAAACATTTAACACTGTCTAGCAGTCTATAATATTAGTGGGTTATCCTCAGAAGTTATTGACTTGAGCCTTTTATAGCTCATCGTATTAATATGGATTTACTTTATATACCTCATTTTTATACTTTTCTACTGGATGGTTAAGACCAAGATATAGCAAGACCTATATTCCCAGAAATGTAACTTTTGTATCTGATAAGGTCAGCCAAGTACTCTCAGGATTTATCCTGTAGCCCTGTACCACCTTTTGTGTGGTACCCAATTTTAATCAGAATGATATTAAAATAGATATTTGCATTTGAACTCAATCTGTTTTTTATTTCCTTCTTAATGAAGATTGTAGTCAGAGGAATAAGTAATTAAATAAACAAACAAACAAACAGAGAATTAGTAAGGAGGAATTAGTTGGATATTACAGAAAATGTAATGTACAGTGTTGAAATTGAGGCTGACATATGGAGGTGTCTACGTGGCCCTGGAACTTCTTGGAGAGACCATGTTCTCTGCACCAGGCAGTCCTGGGCTGTGGCATGATATGGAAGGTGCAAAGACAGATCAATGGTTTGCAGCTTCCTTTTGCTCTTGAGGAAACTTGGGTATGAAGAAACCTTTCTATTTCTTGGAGAAAAGGCAAGAATGTTGGTGGTTTTATCATCTCACTAAAGCGATTATTCTTTTTCCCACTGTGTCCTTGCAGAATAACAGTGGTCACAGGTTCACCTTTATTGCGAAAATAATGGCCAGGTTTGCTAGTTTGGTGGTGCCCTGTCCCCTGTCATGGTACATCAGCTTCATTTTCACCTTGGAACTTTCTTCAAGCATAGGCTAAATTTTTTATTTATCTGTTTTACTTTACTGTTTATTTTTAAGTGTGCATTTAAAAATGCCTTTTTATTTTATGTTTTAAAATGTATTTGCTTGTTTTATTTATTTTAAAAAGTAGATGCTACATTGGTATGGGACAAAATTAAAAAGCCTTGAAAAGGATTGCCTTCTACACTGCTTTCTCATGCCCTCTGTTTGCTTCGCATTTACATGTTGAGAATCGTTCCTGAAGTATTATATATACACAAATTATGTATAGAGATATAATTTTTCTCTTTCTTATTTAAACAATAGTATTCTGTACACATTGTTTTATTCTTTACTTGATGTTTATATTTCTTTTTCAGTTTATGATACATCATGGCATTCTTGTCATATTAGCACATAAACTGGTTTCTTATTCTTACTTAATGAATGCCCAATATTTCATTGTATAAATGTACCATTATTAATTTATTTTTCTCTCTGTCAGTAGACTTTGAATTTCCAATTCTTTGCTAAGCAAACACTAAAATAGACTTATGTATGAATTTTATCTTTATTTAAAAATACTAAAATTTAATCTTTGTTAACTTAAGAAACATGTTTATAAATTTTGTAGCACTTGAGAGTCATTCTAATATTAATTATTACTGTATGATACTAGAGATGCTAGCCTAAATTTTTAGCTACTTTAAGATATAAAAGGGCTAGGGAGATAACTCAGTGGCACAGCATCTGCCTGGCAGGTATAAGGTCCTGAGTTCAATTCCCAGTACAAAAAGAAAAAAAAAACCTTATAGGTTTATTTGCCACTTTCACTGCTTATTATAAAAATTTTCAGTCATGTAAAAAAGTTGAAGTAATAGTATTCTGAACACCTATGAACTTACCACCTAGAATTAAATTCTTTTTCACATTTTGCTACGTTTTCCTATATTTTCTAATCCACAGAACATACCCACAGATCAGCTTCTTTACATGTATCTTATCACACCTTCCCATGCAAAAACATATAGGGAGAGGAAATTTTGTTTATTTGAAATTTCTAATTATTCTTGTGTAAAACCCCTAGAGCTCTATTGTATTTTTTAAAAAAGCTTTTATTTATTTATTTATTTATTTGGTACAGGATCTTGCTAGGGACTCATAATGATCCTCCTGTCTCAGTCTCCTCAGCGTGGGGATTACAGGTGTGCAACACCATGCCTTGGTTCCATGGCTGGCACAGCACACCCGGGTTCTTGGGCCTGGCATGGCATGTGGCACCGGAGATTGAATCCGGATCCTTGAGCTTGCCAGGCAGGTGTTTAGACCCTTGAGCTATCTCCCTAGCCCCTGTATGCTTTTAGTAAAAGGATTTACTAAAGATGTCCCATAGAATTTTTCCTCATTTTAAAAATTCTTCTTCCCTTTGTTTCTAGAATATTAATTTCATGTAACATTTACTGAACATTTATTATAGAAATTATGGGCATTTCTCTAACTCTGTACACATTGATTAATTCAACTTATTTAATCTTCACAACCATATGATCTGGCATTATTATAATTTCCCCCTTGTGGTGTGCGTGCCTGTGTGTGTGAGTGTGGGAGTGTGTGTGTCTGTATGTTTGTATTCTGGACACTGAGTCAAGGGCTTTCACATTGAGCTATGTCCCAAGCCTTTACTTATTTTTACTTTTACTATTTTATTATTTTAAGAATAATTTTATTGAGAAACAAATAGCAATGAGACAGTTTCAAAACCAATTCGTAGGACAGTTTCAATAATTAATACATTGCAGATTGTTGTCTTCTCTGTGGTTATTGATAGTACAAGATGCAGACATGATATCCTATCCACAAACACTATTAGAACAAATCTTTCTATTTATTGAATTAAGAGAAAGTAGTTGTATATCTGTCCTATTTTGAGTATACAGATACAAAATTGTCTTTCATTTGTACCCCTTTTTTGTTTAGTTTTGTCAGAGAAGGGTATTCCATTGTCATTTAAATATTACAGGTGAATGAATTCAGCAAAATATTCCAATATAGTCCAGTAGTCCATAATAGTAGTGGGTTTTCCATAGGACTGGC